AAAACAAGCTAAGAGTCTAAAGTATCAGAAATTTCCAGTCTATCTACTAGTGGTAATGTGGCTTGTAATCCAGAGAGGACTTTATTTTTTTGCAAGTTGTCAAAGTTGATTAAATAATTTCAGATGAGAATTTTCCCCCACTGGATTTTAATCAATGAAATGACGGTATAAATGCTCTTTTCTGTCGTTTGACATCATTGTGACAGTCTGAAGAATAATCAGCAGAAACGATAAGGATGGTTACCACTGACTAGTTTATTGGCATTATCAGTTTCACAAGTCACTGACCTTTTCCCTGTCTGCCTCACTTCTCTTCATCTGTCATGTTTCATTTTGTCACATTGATTTCCTTTTACTATAACAGTTGGTATGTGGCAGACTTCAAATGCTAATCGGCCCTTACAGTTTCTCACACAGTGTTGAGAAACTACTAGCTGAATTTAAGGAAAAATGGGAAAGTTATTTCTAATTGGATCCTCCTGAGAGTGTTACATAATATAAGATGTTACTTAGTACCCATTTTATTTTGAAATACTAAGCTTAAATTTCAAAATGACACAATCAGTATTTATTACTAATGAAGAAGTTGCTACTGTCATTTAAGAAAATCTGTTCATTATGGAATTAAACTCGCAAAGCTTTATATAGGTTTTTTTTTAGATTATGATATTAACTGTAGTTGTATGTGTGTCTCTAAAACATGGTCTGATTGCTACAGGACACGATTTCGTAACAGTAATAGAAAAGCATGCTTGGATGTGTACCCATGCATCCACATCACAGCTTCAGCTCTCTCGTGCCATGCACAGCAACCTGGCTGGAAAAAACTGCAGCGTCTCCCTTCCTCCCGTGGTGAATCTGCACCTGAGACCCTTTACATAGAGTTTTTGTGCAAGCACAGTCATGTAAATAGTCCCTATTGACGTTTTTTATGGCTATATAGATGGGAGGCTTATGTATTTAAACTTACATAGAACTTATTCCCTAAGACGTGCGTGGCACTTGGATGGTGAACTGTTGTTTCATCTGATGTGTATGATGTGCGCATCTTTCCTCAATAATGAACTTGTCCCATCAGTGAGATTATTCTAAATAAACTACAACACACCTCTACTAAGTTTGAATGATACGCTTTTTTTTTTATCTTACCACCTACAAAGTTCTACTTGTGAAGCTATAGTTTGCAGTGGAATAAATACCTACCATTGTTAATTCTTACTTCTGATCTGCCATAATGGGAGAAGAAGTCGTCTTAAATGTCACTGCAAAGTAAGTCCTAAGGGAGTAGGACTTGACCTTTTTCATAAAGTCTGCGTGTTAATACGTAAAAAATCTTCTCCACCCTTTCACTACCCTAGCGTGGCTGGCGTTTTCAATAGAACACATGTGGAGGAAAATAAGACACAATTACTAAGAAATTAACAGCTGAAGATGGGGTATTGATTTGACCTGCAGTCAAACACAATTTGACTTTCTATCTTTCATCTAATTTGGAATCATTTTTTTGTGGTGGACTCCTGAGTTGTTCCTTATATAGATCTGCTTTTAAATCCTGACTTGCTTAAGGTTAACGTAATCTCAATGTAATAATTTTGCCTTATGATCTACCAATAGCTGTTTGCCAGCGTAAAGTCAGCGTGTCAGGGTATCCTGGTCATTCAGAACCGTCGGAGCTCAAGATGTTCAATTGAGATGGGCGTGTTAAATAGGTAGGTGCAAGGAATATTGCTCCTGAATTTTTTGAAATTTTGAAAGATTGAGGCACACAGGAGTTGCTTGAGTGCCCGTGTAGGTGCTGAATTTTGCAACTCGGAGCACCCGAAGTTCATTTGAATGCATATTTTCTTCTAGTGTCAAATATTGCTCATAAACCTATTTAGATCAGATGTGGGGTCTGGACACGCTAAAGCAGTCTTTGATGACGCAGGGTAGGTAGGTGCCCTGCCCTCTGTCTGCTCGGTCGGTCTGCCAGAGGGATGTTCCCTGCTGTGCTGAACATTCCTTGCTGAAGCCCATGTGCCAAACGTGACGCCAGCATCCACCCACGTCGTTCAGCAGCGCAGTGGCTACGGTGCTCTCCTGGAAGAGCTCAGGCACCCTCCAAACTGTTTTTTTAACAATTATTCCAGTAAGTTTTAAGTTGTGCAATGAAACGGTGTGTTCTGGGACAACTTTGGCCGTAATTGTTGCTCAGTTTTCCCCTTCCATAAGGAAGGCTTGAAATCCAGTGAAGTCAGCGTGGAATTGCCCTGGATCGCTTTCACTAAATCTCTTTGTTATGTAGATTCCTGTTGCAATCCTACAGCGACAACACTGCAGTCTTTTGTTTTGGCCAGGCAAAACTATGCCAAGTGACAAAAAGGATCTTGGAAATAGAAAGCAAGAATGAAGATTTTTTCTGAATAAAGGAGGACAGAACAAAGGGCACTTCTGGCGTTTGGGAGAGGTATTCTTGGGTTTGGCATAAGATCACATAGGTTCAGAGAAATTTTTGAGCACATTTAGTGATGTTTGTGTGTTGTTATTAGATTTTCTCCGTATAACTTACGACTAAATAGAAATTGATTTCAAAAACTTCTGCAGCAGTGCTCTAGATTACTTAGCATCCCTAAAAACATCTAGTGCTTTCTTGGTGCTACATTGTAAGTTTATGGACAAAACAGATCTTGTGTAGTAAACTGTTTGTTGTAACATCATGCAGCTTCAGTAATAGCAAGAATTAAATTGTTAATTTAGCTAAATGTCACTAGATCTACTCTTTTCTGCATTCTGTGCCTCAAGATTCCTCTGAAAACTTTTCTTCTTGGTTATGCTGTATTTCCCCATGTACACATAAAATGCTCATCTCTAAGATTCACAGTCTAAAGCTTCCCTCCAACACACCTCTTTTTTTAAGAAATGAATTTAAATACAGTATATTGTTTCATCTAGACTATTTCATCACTAATTCTTCATCCACATTGAAGAAGATTGCTCAAAGGAAAGGAATTATGATCATTTTTCTATGCTAACCTCCCCACCCATTTTTGGATGGAGTACCATGTAGAAAGTTGAGGGTTGTTTTTTTTTAAAATTAAAAAAAAAAATCCTTCTGGTTAGAAAATAATACGAAAAATGGTTTGATTATGTTATCTAGCTGCTGTTTGTAACATACCAAACAAGTTATTTTCATTTATACTTAGTTATTATATAAATTACTTGTAGATATACATGAAAGAATCCTTGGGCTTCTGAAATTTGATATGACAGGCTCCTAGACAAAGCTGTTTGTTTGACCTTAGTGTCTGTGACTTAGTAATATCTTTTCCTTTCAGTACTTGGGTTTTAAAGAGCTATCAATGTATAACTTATGTGAGGGGTTTTTGGGGGGTTCTGTTTTTTTTGTTTTCTTTGTTTTTAAAGAAATCATGTTAGGATCCTTTAGTTTATTCTTGTACATTTAAACTTACAGCTTTCTTTTTGTTCTGTGCTTACTTCTTTCTACACTCTGTGCATATCAGACTATGTTCTTCTTCATTATATGTCCTTCTAGCGAGACCGATATTTCATCAGCATATCCTTGTCCCACTTCCTCCCCATGTACTTCTTCAAATTGAAGCTCATTTAGGGTAATATGGTGCATCTTGGAAGTAGGCTTCTTATCTGTGCTGACAGGCAAACAAAGGATCCCTTAATACTTTTACACGTGTGCAAACAACACACATAATCAAATTGAAGGGGAAAATACAGATCATTAAATTGATATTACATGTCGTTATTTTATCTTGTCACGTCAACCCTCAGCAATTTAGCAGGCTTAGGATATTGGGGACCACAATGGGGCTAATTAGCAGGCAGTGTGCTTGTTTACTTTAGAATTTCCAAGTGTCTCAGAGGTGACAAAATCTAATTATTTTGATATTTTATTAAGTGGTTTGTCAGCCATTATATAATTACTTCTTCTGAAAAAAGCCATCTGAAAATTACGGATATCAGCAAGGTAGAGTCTGTTGATATTTTTTGTGAGAACAGCAATTGCAAAGTAAGTCTTGAGGAGAGAGAAACAGATGAAACTGTATTGTGAGACTACCGTGAATGTTGTTTTTCCTACTGTGTACAATTATATATAATTAGATCTGTCCTTTTTTTATTATGCTGTCTAAAAAATTAATTCTGCCTATCTAGGTACTGAATGAGCTTGTAAATAAGATAGCAAGATCAACATAGTCTGAAGAAATAATTAGTAACAATTTAACATAAATTGTTCTGTTCAGGCTAAATCAATAGTAATGGAGATGAATAAATGGGCAGAAACCTTAAGTAATTACAAATCCTTTAAATTATTCTTGAATTAGAAAGCAGAAGGAAAGAACAGATTTAATGACTTTTATAGATGCAGGAGAAGAGAACTTTCTGAATTCTCTCTTTGTTCTTTCTTTTCTAGAATACACTGTTTCAGGCAGCTGATATTCTGTTTCCTGTTCTTTGTTGGACTTTTTTGCAACTGGCTTAGCTAGGCTAGGCATACCAACTCAGGTACTCTGTTTTTTCCCAAAAAATGAGTTACAAACGTTAATGGGAAGAAGCAGATTTCTTATTATGTTAACTAACTTCTGTAGTCTGGTTTCAGACTTCTAATTTTTGGCACAATTCTTAATTTTTGCGTCACTCTGAGGAGGAAAGACCATTGTTCTTTTTGGTATTCTGTACAGTAGAGAAGAACTTTTAACAAATATTAGATTTACCTTTAGTCAATGAAAATGTACAGGTATGTTTAGATGGGGCATGTAATTTTTAAAAAAATAAAATCTAATAGTCTGCTTTTTTATTCTTACGCACCATAGAAAGTTCTACTTTGATGCGTGCATATACTGTATAGATCATACTTTTTGCATTTAGTTACAGAAGTATTTTCTCATGGACTTTTGATATGTATTCCAGTATCTTTAAAAGATCTGGTATCTTTACAGCATTTTTTCTATGTTTGTAAATGATGGTGCTTCGAAAGAGTTATTAGCTTTATGATGCATCATGAAGAAAAGAAGTCCTCAAAAGGCAAAGAGATGTCAAGATGGACTCTAAAGATACTATCAGCTGAATTAAAATGAAGCAGAATATATTGGAAAGCAGCTAGGTGGTACCCTTTGGATCACCATGGAAATGCAAAGGTCAGGGAACCTTAACCTAGGGAGTGCTGCTGAGACTTGGGGAGCTCTCAAAACCTGACACTGGTGTTTGGTTTTCTCGACCTTGAGAAGCAGCATTAGAAAGATTTCTGCATTAAAGCATTTGCTAATTGACCTAAATGCTTCCTCGGTGTAAACTCTTCTGAGTTATTACTGAAGGAGACCATTCTCAATCAAAAACTATGAATGACTGAAGTAAAACAATAAAAAAAAAACCAAGAAACTTTTTTTTAAAGGTTACTGTTTTAGATTTATAGACCAATAAGAGATTGACTCAGTCTTTAAAATAAACAGATGACTTATTTTGTTTAACCTGTCTCCCTTCTTTAGCTGGAAAGGCAACTACTGATGCAGAACCAGATGAGAGAGAGACAAACAGCCATGCAGATTGCTTGGACACGGGAATTTCTCAAATATTTTGGGACATTTTTTGGACTTGCTGCTGTAGGTTTATCAGTTGGGTAAGAAGTTTATTTCCTAACAGAAAATAAAAATGTATTACATTTATATTTCTATGATGCTGGATCTTCCTTTTGCATTGTAGCAGGTAGTTATTTTTATCCAGTAACTGCTCAGAGGTTGATCGAGTTACAGACTAACTCTGATTTCTGTTGGCTTCCAGATGTGTTTTGGTTATGCCTGTACTGCAGACTTTTGTAAAAGCAGAGACATGTGAGCTGACAATAAAATGGTACCACTGAGGTACCAAAAGATCAGTGTAGAATAAAAGTTGTGTGTGGAACAGGAGGATTGTTTAAAAGACATGCTATATTCTTGTCTGTATTGTGATTTCATGAACTATTAAGGAGCCACAAATCCTCCACCATGTGGTTTTTTTGATATGTCAGTGACCAAGTGGACATACTCTGAAATCTGTTCACTTAAAATTTCAATCAAGAAACTCACCCAAGGGGAAAAAAAACATGGCTAATCAAGCTGTATTGCATAGGGAATAAGTTGCCTTATAGGACTTTTGTTTGATAACATGTTTTTCTTGTGCTATAACATGATTAGAGGGAACGTAGGAAATACTTGTGGTTTTGTGCACGTAGCAGAGATTAAATGCACCTTATGCGTTACACGTTCTCTGTGGAGTCAAATGCATTTGGAACTGAACATAGTATCTTGATTGCTACGTGTTGCATGTGGCTGAATGAATATATGCATGTGCATATACATGAGTAAAATAATCCTATTTTTCTTAGATATATTCAAAACTCACTTGAAGCGTTTTTTTTAATACCCTTCGGTTGACAGTTGAGCAAGTATGGAACCAGAAGACAAATGCTTCTGAGGAAATTAAGACTTGGAGAGTGTAGAAGGATACATAAGTACTAGACAGTCAAGGTCAACCTGAACTAACAGTGCTGGTGTGCTGAATGTCCTAAATAATCTTAATGTTTTCTTTCTTTCTTTCTTTTTTGTTTTTAACCAGAGCAATAAGAAGGAAGAACCCAGGAATTTTACTGCCAATAGTTCCCTTAAGCTTTATATTTGCCTATCAATATGATATGGGCTATGGGACACTGTTGCAAAGGATAAAAGGTATGAGTATGTCTGTCTGGTTTGCACATGGAACCAAACTTAATATTTCAGATAACCTCTTTTTAGGATGACTGGGAGAAAACTTGCAATAGATTTTCTTTTTTTCTGGACAAAAATCTTACTCTCTCATTTCTTTTCTTCTCTGTTACAATCAGATACTTTCCCAGTCAAGGGTACTCACTCTACTTTCATAGCCTTTCCCCCCAGTTAAGACTGTTAATTTCTCCTCTCTTGTTTCAAAAAATGTGAATTCTGAGGCTATAAATGCAGCTCAAGTAAGCATTGCATATCTGGGAGAAGTGACAGATCTAGTGATTTTCTTCCATGTTCCATTCAGATGCTGCTGTTTTGGCAAGGAGTAGGGATGATAGGAGTAGGAATGACAAGAGTAGATAAAGGGATACAGACAGGAATACAGACAGGAATCATGCCATTATTATCTTCATGACAAGACACAGTCATCAGCTGATCATCTTGCCACAGTGCCCTGCTAAGATGGAAAAAAGAAAGGTGAGTCCCAGAAAGTGGGATCTTGCCTCATAGTTGCCAGTGGTAGATCTGATTAAGTGATGGGTGTTGAGGGGCCTTTCTATTAGCTCTG